TTTCCACATTCCATGCATTTATATGGTTTCTCCTCTGAATGGGTTCCTTGATGTGAACTCAGTGTACTCCTTTGGCTCAAGCTCTTTCCACATGGGAAGCATTTATACTGCTTCACCCCTCTGATGAGTTCTTCACCTGATAAATTACTGTTCATATTTATGGTCTTTATATGCTCCATTCATTGATTTAATTTTTCTTTTGGGTAGACCTAGCCATGTCTATTGATATCAGAAGTTCATTTGAATGCTTTTCTACCCGTGATGCACCTTCTCCTTCCCTTTCCTTGATGTTTTCCCAATCATCAGCAGTTTGTAAAAATTAGCACTCTTTGAAATTTTTAGATGTACTCTTTCTTGTCATTGGTTGGCTTCCATTCTGTCTTTCTATCTCATTTTCAGTGTTCTTTTCCTGCTTCACACTTGGTTCTTGTCCCTGTCCAAATAGCAGAAGAAACAGAATTCTGGTTGTCCTGGTATGTAATCTGATTAAAGAAAAAAATGAAAATAGCACAGAACAAATTAAGAACACGCAGAAATGGTTCACCTATTCTGAATAATAGAATCATAGAAGAATTTAGTTGGAAGAGGCCTATAGAGCAATACAACAGTGGAACCATTTACACTTCGGGAGTTTGTGAGTGCTCCAACATTGTACTCAAGAAAAACTTGTAGATATGCTTACATTGTATTCCTGTGTTGAACTGGGGGTTGGACATGATGGCCGTGTAGGCCCCTTCCAACTTCACTTTTCTAAGATTCTGTAATACTATAGGTTCATTGATACCCCCTCTCCAGGAATCACAATTAACATATATTAGCAATCTGGTCATCTTAATTTTCACACCGCTTCCTGAGATCATTGATTTCATAATCAGGCTGCTCCATTATTTAAGAGTTTTTTTCCCTAATATTCAATCAAACGAGGGTTTCTCTATTATGTTTTGTGCATTTTGGGATGATTAAGAACAGATCCTACCCCTTCTCTTTCAAGAATGCCTTTCAAGTCTTCAAAAACTGCTGTCAGATCTCCCCTCAGTCTTCTTTTCTCAAGGCTAAACATGCCCAGTTCTTGCAGTCTCTCCTCATTGGGCTTGGTTTCCAGTCCCTTAATCATCCTTCTTGCCTTTCTCTGAACCTGTTCTAGTTTGTCAGCATCCTTTCAAAAGATGAAGCAGCCAGAATTCTTTATGCTAAGAACTGGAAGAAATCTGAGATATCAAGACAAGTGGAGCTAATTGAGAAGATAAGGGAAGCGGCTGAAACGGATATTCTATCAGAAGTGTTGAAAGACTCTCCAATTCAAAAGGCAACTGAATGATGGGATATATTATATAAATGGCTTGAGTCACCAGATAGTGCTTGAATAAAATAAAACTAAGCGGCCATTTTGGAACTGCCGATCAGCTATTGAAACACTTACCGATCGTCGCAATGCGATGTTTTACCATATAAAACATTGCAATGCTATCGCATTAGCGATCCCAAAAAACGGATTACTATGCGAATTCATCGTTAAACGGTGCACTCATTAAGCGAGGCACCACTGTACTTCTTAATAGTGTGTGGCTTTGTAGCTATCATGTCATGTGGAGATACATCTCCATCTCTCTCTCCCTCCCTCCTTTGGAAATCAGGAAAAGTTTCGCTTACCGATTTTCACATTGTGATGTTTAAAAAACAGCTGATTGGTGGTTCCAAAATGGCTGCCGGAAAAAATTGCCACCCACAGCATTTTCACACCCTTTCCTTGCTTACCGGGCAGTGAAAATGGCGGCCGGATGGAGGATTTCCGCATAGCGGTGAGTTTTATCCCCATGGGAACGCATTAAATGGGGTTTAATGAGTTCCTATGGGGTTTTTCGTTCTGTATAGCGACGATTCCAGATAGCGACGATTTTCCTGGAACGGATTATCATCGCTATGCAGGGCACCACTGTACTAGGACTTGTTCAGGGCAAGGGGAGATCTGGTGGGGCAAAAGCACTCACCACCCCAAGCAGGAGAGAAGGGGGAGGGGAAAGGATATAGGTTGTCTCTAAGCCATCCCCAAACTTAAAGAGGTCAGATAGCCTGGGTGAACAACCCTCTGGGTTGAAACTCTTGCTGCCAAACCCCAGGTCAGTCAAGGGTGAAAAACAACTGCCATCTGGGACCTGATCCTGGGCAATCTGGCTCATCCGGTTTGCATCACCAGAGACTTGGTGGGATGAGCCTGGGGGTGTGCCTCCCACCAAACTTTCTCCACCTGGGGTCTCTGGGGTGCAGCAGACAGTCCCCAGTGGGGGTGCCCAGTGGTTAAATCACTGTACTTGAGCCAAAACTGTGCTGGCAACCGAGGGTTCAATCCCAGTAGCTGGCTCAAGATTGACTCAGCCTTCTATCCCTTGAGGTCAGTAAAATGAGTACTTAGCTCGCTGGGGGTGGGAAGCAATGTGTAGCCTGCATAATTAACTTGAAAACTGCCCAGAGACTGCTTGAAGCACTATGGAGTGGAATATAAACAGCACGCTTTTTGCTTTGCTTTGTAATGGTCTTTTGTGATGCTCTTCCCCTCACCTGGTGCCACATTTCCCTCCCATTTTCTGGATTTGAAGAGGTGCATCTGGAAGCAGGAGCCCGGGTCTGCCCCAAATGGTCTCCACTCCCCTTCACGCCGCAGGGCACACTTCCAACCTGATTTCCTAGAATGGGGAGGATGTTGGTGATCTGGGTGTGGAGCGACTCTCCGGAAGCCTTAGACCTTCCCAAGGTTTTACCAATAGAGCCCCTTGAAACTTGAGTGAGAGAAGGTGAAACTCAGGGAAGAGCCCAGTGACTTTCCTCTCCTGTTTTGCACTGAGGGGTGGAGGTAGGATGCAGGGGAGAGGTGGGGTCTCCTCACAGGAAAACCCAGCAGGAGCACCGGTCCCCCACCCAGATACCTTGCATGGAGGGGACATTGGGGAGAGTTGTTCTTTCTCTGGCGTTCTTGTCAAACCAGATTTCTTGTTTCTTTTGCTGTCCATGTAAATTTATAGAAGTCACTAATTGTTTCTGAAGGTTTTCCCCTCCCCTCCTGGGATTCACTAAGATCTTTCTGTGTAATAGGTCCTTCTCTATCAGGTACCTTTCAGGTTTTTCAGGGGTTAATGGTTCTTCAATAAGTTTTTCACAGCAATGTTGCAGCGTAGAATCCACTTTTTGTTCCTGTGTAAATGTATTGTCTTGGGGGTTTCTAAAATGTCTTAGCTCAGCTGGGTCATTGTTTGTTTGTTTGTGTAGTCATTTAGTTGTGTCCGACTCTTCATGACCCCATGGACCAGAGCACGCCAGGCCCTCGTATCTTCCACTGCCTCCCGGAGTTGTGTCAAATTCATGTTGGTTGCTTCAATGACACTGTCCAGCCATCTCATCCTTGGTTGCCCCCTTCTCCTCTTGCCGTCACACTTTCCTAACATCAAGGTTTTTTCCAAGGAGTCTTTTCTTCTCATGAGATGGCCAAAGTACTGGAGCCTCAGCTTCAGGATCTGTCCTTCCAGTGAGCACTCAGGGTTGATTTCCTTTAGAATCGATAGGTTTGTTCTCCTTGCAGTCCAGGGGATTCTCAAGAGCCTCCTCTAGCACCACAATTCAAAGGCATCAATTCTTCGGAGGTCTGCTTTCTTTATGGTCCAGCTCTCACTTCCATACATCACTACAGGAAAAACCATAGCTTTGACTATTCGGACTTTTGTTGGCAATGTGATATCTCTGCTTTTTAAGATGCTGTCAAGATTTGTCATTGCTTTCCTCCTAAGANGCTTTCCTCCTAAGAAGCAGGCATCTTTTAATTTCATGGCTGCTGTCTCCATCTGCAGTGATCATGGAGCCCAGGAAAATAAAATCTGTCACTGCCTCCGTGTCTTCCCGGTGATGGGACCAGTGGCCATGATCTTAGTTTTTTTGATGTTGAGTTTCACACCGATTTTTGCACTCTCCTCTTTCACCCTCATTACAAGGTTCTTTAATTCTTCCTCACTTTCTGCTATCAGAGTGGTATCATCTGCATATAGGAGGTTGTTGATATTTCTTCCGGCAATCTTAATTCCGGCTTG